CGTGAGAACCAAACATACACGAAGGCTGAATTCAAACTCTTTAAATTGTACTTAAACAGGGAGCATTCCGCTAAAATTTCAGCATTCCGGCTTTTCTGGTTGTCGAGTTAGCGATTTTTCCGCCAAAACTTTCACGCGCGCGCACGTGAAATCACACATAGTTAAGGGCTGAATTTGATATCTTTAGCTCAAACATACACGGAAAATACTCCAGCACAGTTTCAGCTTTCTATCTTATCTGGTTCCCAAAATTGTTTCCCGACAAAGAAATTTGCGTATTTTTCCAGGGGACCGTACGCGAAATCTAGGTACTTATGAGCGAAAATTTCAAAACGGGAGAGTGATACATGGTATGGTAATATGAATTCAAAATTTCAGCCTCCTAACTTCCCTGGTTGCTGATTTGAAAGCGGGCGACAAAGTTCACTCGCCTCCGAAGACAGGCGGCCTATCGACAATATGCGTTTTTGCTCACTATAGCACTGCACAGCAAAAACGCATAAAAACGGAGGGTCACACAGAGAGTGGACACATACTCCCGAAGTATCAGCTTTCTGGCTTGCTCTCGAGTTGAAAGTTGGTGACAAAAAGCGCCAGCACGCAGACACACACAGCCTTTTACATACATGCCTTTTTGCTTACTGCAACAAAAAAGCATAAAAATCATAAAATTCATCAATTGAAACAAAATGATTTTTATAAGAATATTAAAACAAAATCAATTTTGCAGAAATGAAATTTTATCTCTAGAATTACTCCGCCTCCCATCTTGCACCTCCCCCCCCCTCCCCCCAATTCCTCTTGACTTCTCTTCATTGTTCTCTTTTTCCAAACTGCAGTATTAACATTAATTTTGCTTTTTTGCATACACGCAAATGCAAAAACGCATATTGGCAAAAGGCTGTCTGCCTGCGTGTATCTGTGTGTTCGCACTTTTCGTCTTCTATTTTCAACTCGAAAACCAGAAAAGTAGAAAGCTGAAACTTCGGGAATATGTGCCCACGTGCAATCTTCCCGTTTTAAATTATCATTCGCGTAGGCTTAAGTGCCGCGTACAGATGCCTTAAAAAGTGTCCATATTTTCTGGTGGGAAAGCGACAAGATAGGCGCTGGAAATGCGCAGGAATATTCTCATGTATGTGTGAGCTAAAAATTTTAAATTCAGCGCTTAGCCGTGTTTGGTTTTTACGTACACGCGCGTGAAAGTTTTGCGAAAAAATTACTAACTCGGCAACCAGAAAAGCTGGAAGGCTGAAATTTTAAGGGAATATTCTCTGTTCAAGTACGATTTAAAGAGTTTAAATTTAGCCTCCGTGTATGCTTGGTTCTCACGTATAGGCACTTGAAGTCTTGGTGGGAGAATTTTTCGCTAAATAGGTTATCTTCAAAGAACGACCGTTAAGCCGAAGTTGCTCATTTCCTTCCTACGAAATTTACGATGATTTACGCCAGTGAGTGCTTGGGGTAGGTGTAAGGCTACAACCATTCATACAGTTAACGACCTGATTGCTTCAAGTCTGGCGCAAAAACGTTTGATCGCACCGGCAATTCTGGTGCATTCCAGCCTGGGTTTGAAGATGAACTAGTGCTCAGTGAATAATATCCCTGCCAAAATTTGTGGTTACCGCGTAGGTGAGAAACACGCACACCTGGAGGCTGAATTTGAAATCGTTAAGTTACTTGGACAGGAAACATTCCGCTAAAATTTCAGCTTACCAGCTTTTCCGATTTCCAGTGTTTACACCAAAACTCTCACGGTCCGGTTCAGTGCCATGCGTATCTGAGGGCTGAATTTGAAATATTTATGTTGCACACGGATGGGGGAAATCCCCGTAAAATTTCGACACCCAACTTCTGCGGTTCCTGAATTGCCAGCTTTCCCGCCAAAATTTTTATTTGCTCTTACCCAGGGCTCAGCAGTGCATAAGAATTGGTGCAGTGGTCCTAGAGTGGCACTTGACTGGCGGATCCACTGGCAAAATTTAGCAATCGAGGCTTGCTTGGCTGCCGAGTTGAAACACCTGAACAGGCGTACACACACGTACACAAGCATACACACATCATGGATCGTCACAATATGCTTTTTGCGTTTGCATATATGCAAAAACGCAGAAAAACCGAAAAAACCTTCGACCTTAAAGCCCAAAGTGAAAATGTCAAACTTTTCCAGAGCAAACATTGCATATTGGTAATCTTACCGGCGCTTTCCTTCATCTGCTGTATATCTTTTAGCCATGCTTGTCGAACATATTCTACGGACTGGACATCCTTTGCACGAATTCGGAATTCCGGCAGACCTGGCTCATTGGGTTTCAGCTCCAGTGAATCCGGTTCCAGTTGCATTGCTTGTATCGTGTACTTGTTAAGCTGTATTGATAAATTAAGATTAAATAAGAAAATCCGAATTATCAAGGATTAGAAAGTAGATAAAAATGACTCCTCTACAGCCAGCAGGCTAACCACCAGACGATACAGCATTGGTCAGAGCAACTGAAACTTAGTCGAAAGCGTACCGGCTGCCGGTACGAGGATGCGTTTTTTGCACAGTTCCCCCGCAGG